TCTAGCCCGCGATGCCTTTGCCCCTCGAATCGGCCTCCGGATGCTCCAAATCTAGCCAAAAATAGATTCATACCATCAAAACATGCTAAGGAAACAAAGCCCGCTCGAAAATAATCAATTTACATCAAAAATTCCGAAATTGGTCAAACCCGACCCTCGGGCCCACGTCTCGGATTTCGATAAAAATCACAAAACTAGAATCCTTACTCTCTCATGAATTTATACATATCAAATACATCAAAATCCGACCATAAATGCCCCCTCAAATCCCTAGATTTAGGTCTCCAATTTTCAAGCCCTAACCTCCAATTTTAGGCTTTAGATTCCACAAATTCCATGATTAATTAGGTAGAAATCACATTAGGATTGAGTATTAAGTTCATAAATCTTACCTCCAACTATTTCCCCTTGATTCCCTCTTCAATCCTCTTCAAAAAGTTCTAAAATCGCCTAACAATGGTGATACTTAGACCCAAAATCGCGGATATGGCCTTTTAAACATTCTGCCCAGCTTTTAAAATTCCTTCACTGCGATCGTGGAAAATGCCTTGCGATCGCGAAATACAAAAGCCAACTACCCTCATTTAACCTTACGCGATCGCAACAATCACCACGCGATCACAAAGTAATACTTCACAGACCTACGCGATCACAACAAGCCTTACACGATCGTGTAGAGCAACTATACCTATGCCCCCAAATCCTTCTTCGCGAACGCGGCCTTAGTCACGTGTTCTCGATAGCCAACTTGACAGACCCTCGCTATTGCAGACCCTTCTACACGATCGCGGAGAACAAAAGTCTGCAACAGATCTGAAGCAAAAATCTGCAACTTCTCAACATGCAATTTAATCTGTTTAACCACTCGAAACTTACCTGAGGCCCTCGAGACCTCAATCAAACATGCCAACATATCCCATAATATAATTCAAACTTGTTCCAACCCTCGGAATGCTCAAAACAATATCAACACACCAAATTCACATCGAATTCAAGCCTAAGAATTCCAAAAACTTCCAAATTCCGCTTTTGATCAAAAAGTCTATCAAACCACATCCGAATGACCTGAAATTTTGTACACACATCCCAAACGACACAAAGGACCTACTGCAACTCCCAGAATTTCATTCTGATCCTATATCAAAATCTCACCTATCAATCGGAAAAAGCCAAAATTTCAACTTCGCCAATTCAAGCCTAAATCTACTCCGGACCTCCAAAACACATTCTGATCACGCTCCTAAGTCCCAAATCACCTTCCGAAGCTATCTGATCCATCGAAATTCCCATCTGAACCCTTTTCCACATAAGTCAATATCTGGTTGACTTTTCCAACTTAGGTTCACTCAAAAGAGACTAATGTCTCAAACCTTACCAAAACCTTTTCGAACTCGAGCCAACCAACCCGATAACACATAAAACAGATGAACAAAGCAATAAGAAGCAGAAATAGGAGAAACGGAGCAGTAACTCATGAAACGACTGGCCGGGTCTTTACATCCTCTCCCTCTTAAATAAATATTCGTCCTAGAACAAGTCAAGAAACATACTTGAAGCCTCAAATAGATGGGGATATTTGCTCCGCATCTCCCGCTCGGTCTCCCAAGTAACCTCCTTTATGGGCCGACCTCTCCACTACACCTTCATTGAAGCTATATCCTTTTACCTCAACTTTCGAACTTGACGCTCCAAAATAGTTACTGGCTCCACATCTTAAATCAAATCATCATCTAACTGAACCGTGTTAAAATCCAAAATATGAGACGGATCACCAATATACTTTCGGAGCATAGAAACATGAAATACTGGATGTACACTCGACAAGTTAGGTGGCAAAACAAGCTCATAAGTCACCTCCCCAATCCTCCGAAGTACCTCAAAAGGCCCAATAAATCGAGAACTCAATTTACCCTTCTTCCCAAATCTCATAACACCCTTCATGGGTAAAACCTTTAACAGAACCTTCTCACCAACCATGTAGGACACATCCCGAACTTTTCTGTCAGCATAACTCTTTTGTCTCGACTACGCTGTACGAAGCCTCTCTTGAATCATATTCACCTTATCTAAAGCATCATGCACCAAGTTTGTACCCAATAGTCGAGCCCCACCCGGCTCAAACCAACCAACTGGAGATCTATACCGCCTCACATATAAAGCCTCATATGGAGCCATCCGAATACTCGACTGGTAACTATTGTTATAAACAAACTCTGTGAGCGGTAGGAACCGATCCCATGACCCTCCAAAATCAAGGACACAAGCGCGCAACATGTCCTCCAATATCTGAATAGTGCGTTCGGACTGTCCGTCCATCTGAGGGGTGAAAAACTGTGCTCAGCTCCACCTGAGTACCCAAATCTCTCTGCCCGGCTCTCCAAAACTGCGAAGTAAACTGAGTACCTCTATCTGAAATGATGGAAACTGTGACACCATGCAAACAAACAATCTCCCGGATATAGATCTCTGCCAACCGCTCTGAAGAATAGGTAGTACATACAGGAATGAAATGTGCGAACTTGGTCAGCCGATCAACAATCACCCAAATAGCATCGAACTTCTTCAAAGTCTGTGGGAGCCCAACTACAAAGTTCATGGTGATCCGCTCCCACTTCCACTCTGGAATATCTAACCGCTGAAGCAAGCCACCCCATCTCTGATGCTCATATTTCACTTACTGACAATTGAGACACCGAGCTACAAATCCCACAATATATTTCTTCATTCTCCTCCACTAATAATGTTGTCTTAGATCCTGATACATCTTCGCGGCACCCGGATGAATGGAATACCGCGAGCTATGGGCCTCCTCTAGAATCAACTCCCGAAGCCCATCTACATTGGGCACGCATATCCGGCCCTGCATCCCCAATACCCCATCATCACCAATAGTCACATCTCTGGCATCGTCATGTTGAACTCTGTCCTTAAGGACAAACAAATGAGGATCATCATACTGGTGCTCTCTGATGCGATCAACTAAAGAAGACCGAGAAATCACACAAGCCAATACCCAATTGGGTTCCGAAATACCCAACTGGAGGAATAGAAATGGGCTGAGTGTCCGGAACCTTTTTCTCTAATATAAGAAAAATAAGGTGAAAAGGTTAAAGAAAGAAAGAAGAGGTAACTGCATTTTCTGGCTATGAAAGAGACGTCACATCACCTCTTTATGGATCAAATTAATATACTAGGTAAATATTCAGATGGTAATGCTTAAGAGTAATTCTTTTGTTTAATATATCAAGAAAAGAAAAGAAACAAAAGGGTAAATATTTTCTTTACAGTTTCCCTAGAAATTAAATTTTAATTTATAATTTTTTTTCTTAATCCCATATTATTAAGTTAGTAATCAATTTATCTTAAGTAGGGCGTTTACGGAGAATACTTTTTCATAGCCACCTAGTAAAACAGCAAAAGATTTTACTAGAAAAATATTTAAATATGATTTTGTAAAGATTATGTTAATATATAGCAAAATAAAAAATTCTTTCAATTATATATGCAGAAAGTTTAGACAACGCAAAAATTTCCGCACATACCAATTGTATGGGAGTTTCCTATTGGCACCGCTAGACTGTAAACTTTAATGGTATAATTGTAAACTTTTTAGAATAATAGTATTAAAATAATATTAGAATTATACGAGTTAAAAATAAAAGTGTACCTGGAATTATCTTAGATATAGAGGGATCAAATAATTCTCTTAGGTTAATTAAAAAATTGCCTAAAATAAATAAATAAAAAAATAAAATAAAAAAGAGAGGAGCAAAAATGAAACAAAATATAATGGAGGAAATGGTGGCTGTGGGGTTCGAACCCACGCGCACTTATGTGCAGAAGATCTTAAGTCTTCCCCCTTAACCACTCGGGCAAACCACCTGATCGTTTGTAAGCCTGCAATTTAGTTTTGATATCTTATTATTGTTATTTTTATAAAAACAAAAACCCTTTTTCAGCTCAAATAGACTTTAATATTGGTATGGGTTCAAAGTTCGAGGTTCAACATATTTAATTTTTAAAAAATGGATTAAGGGTGTTTTCAGTATGAACGAAAATGTGTTCATGAGTAAAATATTTTTTTAAAAAAGAAAATTTAAAATAGTTTTTTTAAAAAGAAAATTTAAAATATTATTTGTTTATGAAATATGATCATGTTTTAGAAAGAAAAAAAATCAAAAATTTTCAAGTTCCGAAAAGCTAGTTTAGGGCAGTTTTTGGGCGAAAAATTTTCTTCCGCTCACAAAACTTTAACTTTTCTTCAAATAAAATGCATGTCCAAATACAACTTTAACTTTCAAGAATTATTTTTTCACATAATTTCAAAAACTCTCTTTTCAAGTTTCAATCAAATCTATGTCCAAACGCTAGTTATAGTTTTTGAAAACTATTCTCCTTATGAACTTATTTTCTGTTTAAATGAATGGAAAAATATTTTTCAAAACTCTTTCTGACTTTTCCAATTCTATTCTCTATCTTACAACCCCTTACCCCACCCCAGCCACCCCTCACTCTCTCTAACATTGCCATGACACTCTGATCCCTAGACCCCTACCTCTCTGCACCCTTACTCATATAGTCTTATATAGTATTTCTTTAACTTACATATTTTAAAAATATTTTCTGAACAAGGGGGTTGCTCTGATGGTAAGCAACCCCCGCTTCCAACCAAGATGTTGTGAGTTCGAGTCACCCCATGAGCAAGGTGGGAAATTTTTGGTGGGAAGGATGCCGAGGGTCTATTTGGAAACAGCCTCTCTACCCATGGTAGGGGTAAGGTCTGCTACCTTCCCCAGACCCCACTAGTGGAATTATACTAGATTGTTGTTGTACCTAATCAAACATTGAAAATTTAAAATAAAAAAGAAAATTACTTATTATTCAAGAAAACAATTTCTTTGTGCCAAACACACCCCAATAGGAATAACAGCTCAGCGCTGTAGAACTATCCAGAAGGAGCAGATACCGAAACTTTCTTCATTCCATATAAATTCTCCTCCTCCTCCATTTTATCCCATTTTGATACCAAAAAACCCTAGAAGAAGAGACTTAACAATCCAATTCTGTAATAATGGCGGAGCACTTAGCATCGATTTTCGGTACAGAGAAAGACAGGGTGAATTGTCCATTTTACTTTAAAATTGGTGCATGTAGACATGGAGATCGTTGTTCTAGACTTCATACAAAGCCCAGTATTAGCCCAACGCTTCTCCTTTCGAATATGTATCAGAGGCCCGATATGATTACTCCTGGTGTTGATGTTCATGGTCAGCCCATTGATCCTCGCAAAATGCAGGAACATTTTGAGGTAAAAAAAATTATGAAATTTTTTACTACTTGTTTGTAGATTTTATTGAGTTATTTTGTGGTTTATTGAAATGGAGGCGTGGTTGATGAGTTGATATGTAGTGATCTTATTGTTTTTAGAACTAGCAAAATGTCTGCTCGTTTGCGTATTTGATTTTGAATTATTTGCTATGCTTTAGCAAAATGTGGTCGAATAGAGGGACAATTATAATCAATTTATATAGTCGACCTCAACTAGTTTGAGGATGAGTCACAGTAAATTAAAAGATCCATTTTTTAATTTTTTATTTTTAATGGTCGACCCTTACTGGATTTCCTTGAGTTATTTCACGATTTATTTTAACTTTCTCTATGGTTAATTAGTTTGGAATCGAGTTGTAGTTGATTTGTTAGATGATTGATTTTTAATGATTATTGATGAATTCATTTAGATATCTTATGTATTAGTGAACTGAGTCTGACAGAAAGCAACATATATTGAGTATTTATATGCAGGAACTTTTGAGTTAAAAAATTAAAATTATCAGTTTTTTCTGCTTGTTTGTGGATTTTATGGAGTTATTTTCCGGTCTAGTTAAATGGGTCCAAATAGAGCAGAATTGATATAGAGGGTTCAGACTCAGGTGTAGTTGATTAATTAAGTTGCTATTTTTTGTTATCTTTTAAGTAGAGAAGAGTAGAGGGCTGGCCCAATATCTACCGAGTTTCAAACTGTGTGCTACTGCCCTCAGGATTTCTCGGTTATCAAAAAAATGAAAATAGAAGGGTTCGCTTTGCAGAACCAAAGTATTTTGAGATTGAAGCATAGTTGATTAATTGATTGATTGATATGCTATGATCTATATGTTTCTAAAACTTGTAATTTTTCTGCTCGTTAATGAATTTCATTTTACTTTATGATTCAATAGAGAAATATAGCAAACTTCTACTACTTTCTATTTTTATTTTTATAATATTAGCCTGAAATGAGTTTATATGGAGTACTATGGTCAATGAGGATTCATATAGCCGAATCTGACTTGTTTGTGATTGAGGCATAGTTGTTGGTTTGAATGGAAGGGAATGATGCAGCGGATTTATGTAGTCTACTTAAACTAGCCTCTGGATTTAGGCATAGCTGGTTAATTAAATGGTCAATTTTTTGTGGTTTTACTATGATCAGCAAATCATGCTGGATTTGATTGAGATGTTTTATGAATTAGTGAAATGGGTAACAGACGAGGGATATGGTCGAACTGAGTTCGTTTGGGTCGAGGTTTAGTTGTGTGTGATATGTTGAGGATTGGATATTTCAATTCTGGAACATTTTGAACTACAGCTAGGAAATCTATTTGCTCATTTCTGGATTTCTTTCAGTTTAATTATGATTTAGTGAAACGGGTCTGTATAATGTGGAACGGAATATAGGATTATTGATATACTTAGCTTCAACTAATTTGGGCTGAGGCTTATTTGGTTACTTGAGTGATCAATTGATGTTTGATGATTTGGATGTTTTTTGGTATTGGAGTTACAGAATCCCCAGAAAACTAGCTTAATATTTCTGCTTGTCTGTCAATTTAAGTTAGTTATTTTAAGAATTAGTGAAATCTGCCCGAATAGAGTGAAACAGATGCAGAATGTTTATATCTATGATCCCAAGTGGTTTGGGACTGAGATGGTGTTGATTAATTGATTGAGTAATGATTTGTATTTGGATGTTTCTAGGGCTTGGAGTTGCGTAATCCCTAGAGAACTAGCAAGTATTTCTGTTTGTTTTTTCTCCAAAATTCTATAAGTATTAGATAAAAAAGACTAACTTTGTGAGCTGGTTCATGCTTCATGTGTCGGTAAGTGTTTTATCGGTGGGTCATTAGTCGAAAGTTTCGAGGCATGTGCTTATTATGGTGTTGTTGCAGGATTTTTATGAAGATTTATTTGAAGAACTGAACAAGTACGGAGAGATTGAGAGCCTGAATGTTTGTGACAATCTGGCGGACCACATGGTAAGCTATTTGTGCTTTTGTTGGATTTATTCCACGATTTAGATTATTGGTTGGCATTTTAATTTTTGCATTATGTGCATGCAGGTGGGCAATGTCTATGTTCAGTTTAGAGAAGAAGAGCAGGCTTCAAATGCTCTTAAGAATCTTACAGGGAGATTCTATGCTGGTAACTTTCTCATTTAACTAATGCTTTCCCTGTAGATGTATTGGACTTTAAGTGGGATTTCTTAAGATGGTAAAAAGGCTGATAACCAGTTTGTCTGTATTATGGTTAATGGGCTTGTCAATACCTATTATTTGTTTTTTCCTGGTTTAGATATTTCAAAGTATGCTCCTCAAACTTCTGCTGGTAATAAACACTGCAGGGAGGCCCATCATTGTTGATTTCTCTCCTGTAACTGATTTTCGTGAAGCCACCTGTAGACAGTACGAAGAGAACAGCTGCAACCGCGGTGGATATTGCAACTTTATGCATCTTAAGAGAATCGGCAGGTTACTGCTATTCATTTTATTTGGAGAATTTGTTAACCATTTGTTCAGTAAGTCTTACAAATTGAATTGTTGCTGACTTATTTTTTTTATGCTGACAATTTTTAGGGAGCTAAGACGCCAGTTGTTTGGGCGGTATAGGAGAAGGCACAGCCGAAGCCGAAGCAGAAGTCGAAGTCCTTACCGGCATCGTAGCTATGAAGAGCGCTCTCACAGGAGTCATAGTTCAAAGTATGATGATAGAGATTATTATCATGAAAGCCGGAGTAGGAGGCATACTACAAGTCCTGGACATAGGAGGGGTAGGAGCAGGAGCCCTCGTGGCAGGAGGGATCGAAGTCCAACTCGGGATAGTAGTGAAGAGAGGCGCGCAAGAATAGAGCAGTGGAACAGGGAAAAAGAAGAGGCAGAACTTACTAACAAGACCAATGCAGTTGGTATTAGTTACAACGACGAAAGCAACGAGCATGGATATGCACAAAATGGTAATGGGTATAATGATCAGCAGCCATCACAACAGGATTATGGAAACTAATGGGTATATTCTGGATAGGTTGGTTCCTTGTTTCTTATGGTTGATCTTTTGATTTATCCCAAAAGTTTGTCTTTTAAGAAAGGCCACCTGCCATGAGATATACCTTACTACCATTTTCCACTGTGCAGGTGGTGCAGGTTTTCAATTCTGTGCTATCAAATGTGAAATTTCAACCCTTGTTTTATGCTTTTCTGGTTCTCACATGTTGTTCTGTGCATCATGCATTTTATCTGTCATATCGTTGCCCTTGTAACCTTTCTGCCACTTCTCCTGCCAAAATTTTATTTTGGTCGTCCTTCCTTTCCTTCAGTTCATTACTTTGCCCTATGAAGCTCTTTGCTTGTTCATGTCTTTTGACAAACTTGTCCTTTTTTTTTTTTCACACGGTGACTATACCTGCTTTGTGGCTGTCTGGAACAGTTTTTTGGTTATTAACTCTGATCTGTTGGGAGTTCAGTAATAAGTATTCTTCAAGGTCTAGGAGTAACGTTTCTGATTTGACATTATAGTGGTCATAAATTAAAATCACATTAGAGTTCTGTAATATTTCTGGCCCATTCTGATTCTCACTATCCATCTTCATTATTATGTGACGAGAAGATGTTTTATATGGTTATATTATTGGAAGAACATTTTAAAATTACAGAATAATAGTATGAGCGTAGTAAGTCTACGTGTACCTCATAGTATACTGATTAATACTAAGTACTAACCATAATTTATATATTTTTGTCAAATACACATAATGATATTACTCTCTGAGTACTTGAGATACTTATTTGTTGTAGGTTCTTTCAGTCAGCCTATCACTTATATGTGCTGTCACGCTACTGTAACCTTATCCAGTTGAGTCAATGCTCGTTCCCCAATGTTAGTCCTGGAAGTGTCTGTACGTGATTGTTACATAAACGAAATGTCTGAATTGCTCATAGAATCGCCTAGTAGGAAATACATTGTAAAGTTTTACTTTTCAAGAGCTTTATCTTTTCAAGAACTCGGTGTTTGATTGAGCACGGAGTTTAGAAAATAAATAAGGACTATTGGTATATACCAAAGGTACCCCTTAGAAAGGTGCCGGTCTTTCTGTAACAGACTAAAATGAAAGAAGTGTTACATCAAATGGAACCAACAGAATAAATTATTCTAAGCCTACCATTTTCACCTTACACTTTTCCATGATTATTAGGACTTTGCGGTCAGATTGCCATTGCCATTGTATATCATTGAATTGACTCAGTTTGGTGCCAATCTTAAAGTTTGTTTGTCCCGGGTCTTTTTCTAGGTTGTCCATCCCAAGTGTTTCTTTCATCTTCTTGGGGGTTGTCCTCTCTTTTTGATTTTGGGGGCTGTCTAAGAATGTCTTGTAATGAGAACCGCATGCATCTATAATATGTTAAAGTTATCTTGCAAACGTGTTCTGCTTGTATATGCAGTCAGGTTCTTTGACCAGAGCACATCCAGGCTAGTTGCTTTCCCAACTATTCTTTGTTTTGAAATTTGCTTATGGAAGTTAGTCTTACAGGTTTTATGAGTTTTGCAGGTCCAGGTTTCCCTGCATATAAGGACTAAGAGCATGATTTTAATTACAACTTACCATGAACTGTGTACAGGTGGTTGGAGCCGCCAACTCAAAGGATTTGTCCCAACAGGTTTGCTTTAACAGGCATTTGCAGGAAAGAGATGGAAGAACTTTTAAAGGCTTCTCCTAAGTGAGACTATTATAATTCTTCTTATGTCTAATTTTGGAGTAATGCAGCTTAGAAATAGGCCATTGCGGGTATTGCGTCGTCTATATGACTCTTGTTGGATGTAGCTGTGGATCTTGGTAAACTTGTTCTTTCTAGAAGACTTCTGTTAGCTTTGATAAGTGTTGTTCGACTTGTTGGAGACACTCTTGAAGTTTTAGCAATGTAGTTTGTAACTTTTTGTTTTTAGTATCTTGATGTTTAGTCGTTTCATCTATTTTACAATGATGCGGTCTATTATTAGTAATATAATGTCCATTTTGTCTCCTCTGGGGTAAGGGTATGGTGTGCGTACACTTTACTCTCCCTAGACCCTATTTATGGGATTTTACTGGTTGCTGTTGTAATGTCCATTTTGTATTTGAAAGTTTTGCTTGCTTGGTGCATGAGTACCTGTGTTTAGACTTTAGATCCACATATGTAGTTCAGTTTTGCCCTGTCATGGATCTATAAGGAATTGTTAATTGTGATTAGTGAGCTAAAATGTTTGCTGTTTATTTTTTATTATATTCATCATGAGGACATGGCCGTTAGGTTTTCTCTATAGTAAGTTTTATCAGTATGAGGATAAACATTGCATTGGCTAACTTGTAGATGCACTTGAACCGAAGTCATATAGGCTACAGAGATTGTTTAGTATGGTGTTTGGATGTTTGATATTCCATATTTGCACATAGAGGTGCAAGTGCATATATACGCTACCCCGGGTCTATAATAAGTGACCAATTTGCTTTGGAAATACCATTAAGGAAATACTAAATTCTAGACTAAAATAGTTAGTGTGATTAAACTACATTTCATTAAATGTTGCACCATAGTTATAGTAGTACTTCTCTCCTCAAAGGTGGGGAGTAAATGACTTTTTAGAGGTACATACATAAGGGTAATTTTAGAAAAACAAATTGTTTTTTTTATTATATAAATGAACATTTATTTTGGACTAAAATAAAAAAGTAAATTCGTTACTTATTATGGACTGGAGGGAGTATTTTGGAGCCACCATTAAAGTCATGTTTGCGGTGTATAAAAATTAACAAGTTTACATGCTTTGGAATACACTTCGAATATACGGAACTGAAGTAACAAAATTCGTATATGAAGTTTGGGAAACTTCAGACATCTGTTGCTTCAAATGTGGCCTTATCAAGGTCAAACTTCGGATATGATCCACTTCAGAGGTTTTTTTACTGAAATTTTGGCCTTGACAAAGCCTAACTTCAGACATTGCTTACTAAAGTTGTGGCTTTGGCAAGATCAAACTTCAGACATGAATATCTGTAGGTAAGCCAAACTTCATACATTTACACATCTGAAGTAAGCTTGTCAAAGCCTAACTTCAAACATACATCTTGTCTTTATCGTATTGTGCACTTCAAATATATAAATGGGCAACCATAGCACCAAGACAAGCCATTACCAATGGCTTATTCAACATGATTGATATAAAAATTTGAGAAATGCATATTTTTAGTTGTTCCCAAAAATAATAGTAGTATATATATATATATACTTTTTGCCTAGCGAATATAATTAATTTCGACTGATCGGCCAATTTTGTATTCTTCCCTAAAAAAATATGAGTTTTGGTGGCTTAGGAGAAAGAAGAAGGTGGAAGAAGTGAAATGACTAAATAGGAGAAGCAGAGAAAAGCGTGCATTTGTCTGAAATTTGTTAATATTAGGTACCTCTTAAACAATTTTAATACATTGAGTACAAGTTAAATGACAACGTCCAAATGGGCTGCGCCGTGAAATTTTTACCACGAAGAGTCAGTTTCACGCTAAGAAAAATAATGAGATTTCTCTATTCTTGTTTGTTTAGGAGGTCTTATTTTTACGTTCCCATATACGAAACTATATTACCCTTAATATTTAAGGTTTGATATAATTACATTTAGTATACATAATTACTAATTCTATATCATAATGTGTTTTAACGCTACATTAATTGTACTGTATATCACTCCTAAATTAATGATACCATATATTCCTCCAAACCATCCCCACTATTTCCTCTTCAATCACCCACGATTTCCTCTTCTAAAACCAGTGAAAATTTGTAACCCTCCACTATTGACAACCATTAAAAAGCTTTGAAGCTTTGAATTCGAATTTGAGTTTTCAAAAGACATTGTTTGTGGGGATTGGATGTTGTTGCAAAGAATTGAGAATACTCTCTACGTCTCTCTCTATCTCTGAATCCCAAATTTTAGTAATATAAGAGGAAAGAAAAAGATAACAGCAATTCTACCATTGACAGCCATTAAAAAGCTTTGAAGCTTTGAATTCGAATTTAGGTTTTCAAAAATCATTATTTGTTTAGATTGGGTGTTGTTGCAAATAATTGGGAATATGGTTTGGAGTTTATATCTCAATTTTGAGGGGTTTTGGTGAAGATTAGACTTGGTTTTGGCTGAATTTCAGATTGAAACTCGATGAAGAAGAAGAAGAAGACATGACATACATTATATTGCAGAAATTATAGAAAAATTATAGATAAATTGTAGAAAAATGTATTCTGTTGTTTATTTTATTTTTGAGCTTTGTGCTTTTGTGTTAAAAGTTTTGATGGGAGCTTGTTATTCCACTTCGTCTGTCTTGGAGCTAACTTGTGCAGAGGAGANTGTTTTGAAGCTAACTTGTGCAGAGGAGAAGATGTTTTTTAAGTTATATATATTGCTATACCTTTAAATTCAAGAAAGTATGGTTGTATTGTATTTAAAGAGGCGTGAATTTGTAGAATAGGTTGAATGTGAGGAATGAGTCAAATAAGACTCACAATGGCTTATTTTCTACATTTATTCTACAATAAAACTACATATCATTTGAAATATTAATATGAAAATACAGAATTTCAATGTTTCTACAAATTATCTACAAAATTTCTACAAACTGTTCATAACAGAATTTATCTTTATTTTCATGCATGTTCGTCTGGAACACTAAAGTTACTTGATATGTCAACATCTCTCGTTATAGAGGAATACAACTTATCTATAATTTTCTACAACTTTCACATATTATTTTCACCTAGTTAAATACAACTACAATAACATAAAACTTACATACAAATTTTATACAATATGTCTTTTGTATATTTTGTATCTGATTTATACATAGTAAAAATAATTTTCATACAACTAATTATATATTATACAACTTATCTACAAATTATCTACAATTTTCGTACATTATTTCTACTAAGTTATATACAACTACAATATAATACCACTTAGATATAATTTCTATACAATGTTGTTCAACTTTCATATAATAGGTAAATGAATAAAAGAAAAATAAATAAACAACGGTCTATAATTTTTCTACAATTTCTGCAATATAATGTATGTCATGTCTTCTTTTTCTTATTCTTCGAGTTTCAATCTGAAATTCAGTCAAAATCAAGTCTAATCTTCACTAAAACCCCTCAAAATTGAGATATAAACTCCAAACCGTATTCCCAATTATTTTCAATAACACCCAATCCAAACAAATAATGATTTTTGAAAATCCAAATTTGAATTCAAAGCTTCAAAACTTTTTAATGGTTGTCAATGGTGGAATTGCTGCTCTCTTTTCCTTTGCTTTGTATTACTGAAATTTGGGATTGAGAGATAGAGAGAGACGTAAAGAGAATTCTGGAAACAGAGTGTATCGCAAAACAGAGTATGGAAAATTTGAACCGAAGCGGACGATAATTATGAATGTGCGTGATTTGCGTTGTGAAAGATCTGGAAGAATATTTAATTCCCCAATTTTAGCACGCATAAATAAGGAATCCTACAACTACAATAATTCTTTATTTAATGCATTGTCTATATTTTGTAAAAATACTGTTAGCATAAACGATAATATGCAAGCTATGAACATATTTGATAATATAGTTTTCTATATGGTATAGAAACGAAAATTTCCCATTAAATAAAGTCAATGTATTTCCATATTCCATTTTGAAAGATTTTGTTAGAAAATTTTAAGAGAAAGAATATTATTATATCAATGGATGCATTTAGATGTCAACTCGTATACTCTTATTCAGATTTCTGAGTATCTTCTGTTGGACTTTAACACTTGACTTTCTTGACAACCTAGCTTTTAGGCACTTTAATTTCTACGTTTCTCGTTGAAAAGGATCGTAGAAAAAAAAAATCATCAATTTCTTTAATTTTTCTTGTAAAAGTTAATGTAATTTAAAATTTCAAAATGGTTCACATGTAACACACTTAGAAGAGAACATTTCTAACTTCTAGGTCTGATTAGACAGAGGACGGCATAATTTGATACTTTCTTAACACCCTTTTTTTATTGTCTCAAATGGATTAGTGGATGATGACGAAGAATAATAAGACTTATATTACTCAAAAAAAAAAAAAAAAAAAGGAACTTTAGGTGCACTCTTTCGTTTAAGGGGTTATTTGGCAAGGATATATAAGAATAGTACTGAATAAAGTGTATTATTAATATCGCGATTAGTTATGTTAAGATTATTTTTTATTGATTGTTTGGTTTGGTATATTAAAGGTTTTGAAAAAACAGTTCTGTCTTTATACATGCTTATCCATCTCTTAAAAATGTAAAAATAGCACGGTATAGCCAGTTTTCGGACTGATCATTCAAAAATAGCCAGCGTTTACGAAGTCAATGACAAAATAACTACTATTTTGCTGCAACAGATACTGGTCCAGCATAATATACTGGAGTTCGGTGCACCTGTGTATGAACTCCAGCATATTATACTGGACCGATATACTTTGCTGACTCCAGTATATTATACCAGGCAATTATACTTGCTGGAACTCCAGTATATTATGCTGGAGTTCTAGTGTGCTTATGCTGGAACTCCATCATATTATGCTGGATTTCCAGCATACTTATCCTGGAACTCCAGTATAATATGCTGGAGTTCAAGCATACATATGTTGGAACTCCAGTATAATATACTGGCGTATTTTCCGGATTTTGAACAGTGTTTTTGCTCAGATTTATCTTTACATGAAAAGTGGCTAAATTTCGATTACTTTTGAAATATGTTGTTTTTGAACGACCAATTGTAAATCTGACTATTTTTGAATTTCTCCCCTTAAAAAATCATGGTATTACTAATGGCATGGTTTGCTATATATGTATAAAAATGATATTTACATTGAAAAACACTACCAAACAAGAGATTAATAATACCAAAGGTAGTATATGTATTTTTTTTCCCTAATACATCCTACCAAACGACCTGTTAGAAATATAATCAAAC